TATTATTATATGAATAGTTCTCTTTAAAATATGTAAATAAGTGTGTGCAAGGGTAAGTGGATGACTATTCTTTCATTTTCCCCGTTATGCAAGTTGAAAATGGGAAGGAATTTTAGTACATTCACATTTCTCAGAATATTTTTTAACTGCAGATTCTTAATAAAAAAAAGTAAATCAAAAGAACAGATGAAAATTTAATGGTATAAAATAATACAGATCAGACTTCCTTCCTGAGGCTACCAAAAACACATTTTATCAGCAATTCTCCCTTGGTCCTGCTTTAAAAGAAAAGGGTGGAGGAAAAAAAAAAAAAAAGCCAAGATCTTGTGAAACCAGATCCAACTTGAGACCTTGGTACGGAGTTTAATAAATTATTTATCTGTTAGGGATTTACAAGGAAAAAAAGGAGAATCACTCATAGGACCCAGTTCCAAATATTTCAATAAAATAACAAATTGCATATTAACAACACTATAATTACTCCTTTTGTTTGGTTTCTTTGCAATTACTTTGAATAAATTACTCTGGCTCCCCCATCACTCAAGTAAGTTGTCATCCGAAGGCACAATCAGTACAACGCAGGACACAAAGCCACTCTCAGACAGGGAGGGCTCCGGGGAGGGCGGCTGTGACTCAGCAGCATCCATAAAGCGCTTCTATGGAGATCAAGTATCAATGAAGCTATTGTGAGATATCGCAGCTATATAAATGTGCGCTGGTTATGACTTCTCACAGGCAAGAGCACTGCTGAAAAGAGGCAAGGGCACCAACGCCCGGGAAAGGCTGCCTGAGCTGGAAGAGAGGCTGTCCAGGCCCGCCATTCTGCTAACCACAGTAGTTCCTTTGAGGTGAAGGGACCCTTGGTTCAGCCCTCCCTAAAGTCATCTGTGCCACTGTGCCAAGCTTTGCAGCCTGTCGACTCGGAGTCAAGCCTAACACGGTCGCCGTCTGCTATTACGGATTCAAGAAAAAGCCCGATAACTTGTATTAGTCTCAAATATTGTTTTCCAGAAATCATCAACCAAACATAGAACACACCTTTGCCACAAAAGACAAACAGTAGTAAAGCACTCAGTTAAAAAATTTGCACCTACCTTTATCATATTAAGTATCTGAATATTAGAATTGTAATAAAAGCATTCTCTTAGAATGTATAAAAAGTTTTTAGAAGCAATAAATGTGGTAAAATAGCATAAACCAAGTTGGGTTTTAAATGTAATTTTTAAAATCTTCTATGAGTTATTATTACTCAGACTAAGATGATCACTGGTTGCAGTTCAGAATCAAGTGTGTGAAAAGAACAAATGAAATAAAAGTTGAGTGACAAAGCTCCAGAATTTAGGAAGGATATTACCACAAAGAAACTAGTCTGGCTTTTTTTCCCCCTCAAGGACTCAGAAAATAGAATTTATCACTGGGCTCCAACTGAAATGGCCACTAAATACTAAAAAGTCCACTTTTGCACAATCCTCTTTCTAGATGTTTATGTTTCACTTGATATGCCAAGGAAAATTTCACCAAATTTTAAGCAATTTTCTGCTTGAGGGATTTGGGCAGAAAAGAATAATTAAGGTGACCTTAAAGGGTGCTCTCCCTGGAAACCACTTGCACCTAGCATTCTTTACCAAAGAATTATTCAAAACTCTGTTATTTTACATGTATATATTTGTTAAAAGAACATAATATTATTCCTTAATCTTTGATGGGTAAAGATACATCAGAAAAAAAACATGTGGGTTCTTCTTCCAAAACCGATAGCCATTTAGTAAAACCTATCAACGCTGTTTAAAAGCACACACTCTGGACGCCCTGCTGCAGCCCCACCGTCTCGCCGGCCCTGGCACAACAGGCTGGCCCACTCATTCATCCCAATTGCTCCTTATGCAGTTGCTCAGGTCCCCCTTGCCTTTCTGTTACACAAACTGTTCAAACTAAATAAAAGGAACTCAAAGTAATGGAAAAAGAAGAATATCAGAATGGAAGGAGAAAGTACCCAAGGACGGAAGCAAAACAGATGGCTTCTGTCATTTAAAATGAAGAAAAACAAAAAACAGTATAAAGGAATTCAGTTATACCCATGGAAAGCACTAACATATGATGAAATAAAATGGAAATAAATGTCAAAGGAGATAGGAGATGGGTAAAGGACTGATGTATCTTCAGAAAGATATGAAAATCTGTGGGACAGCACAGGGACTGGAGAGCTACGGGGCGTGGGGGAGGGTGGCAATGGCACACACAGGGGAACAGACCAGGAAAGTCCAGAGAGCATTTCAAATCACTTCTCTGGGTGACACCTCTGATTCACCCCGTTTACTTTATTTCATTATGCGTTATTTTAACCCACAGCTGAGCACAGGGTAAGTTTATTTTGCTTCCCCTTCTGAGTTCACTGAGAAACTCAACTAGTACAGTATTTCAAGTTCCATCAGGCTGTGCCTTCCCTTTCTTTAAGGGGGAATACCAGTATCTCCTGTAAGATTACATTCCTCACACATAATTGGCCGCCCCCTGCCAGTTCCAGACCCCGGCCTTGCACCACTGCTGTTCTCCTTCCTCACGCAGGTCAGAGGACTGCTTCCCACAGAGCAGTAAACATCGGAGGGAAAATGCTGTGACCCCAGCAGAGCTGAACACAGACTGGTTAACCGAGTTCACTCAGCTGAGCTGAATCCTGTGTGAGACCTGAAGATGCAGAGACTAGGGGATGGAGGAAAGGGCACCGGGTAGACACAGGGCACGGAAACAAAGCAGGCAAATAAAGAAAACAGCTAGACCTGAAATGCACACCTACCCGAAGTGACTCAAACCCAGGCTCTTCTCTGACAGTAACATACAGTGAATACCACTGAAAAGATCATAGTTTTCATGTAGCAGCAAAATACAGTGGATGCAGGAAAAAGGAGAAACTGGCTAATCTCCTTCACTGTGGCAGGGCAGACGTTTGAAAAAACTTACTAACCTCAACAGTAATTTCACCTAGATTCCCACTAATAACAGGTTCAAATCCTAGCACAAGAGTGCCACATGACCTGGGTTTGAATACTCATTGCACACACAATTCCATCTGTATTTTGGAATGGACACTGGGGCCATCGGGGGACACCTCGGCAGGTCAGCCTCGGTGCCTTTTGGAACTTGGTCTAAGGCCCTTGGTTGCTGATGGCACTGCCTTTCACCTTGCCCTTGAAAATACTGCATGCTTTGCCTCAGCAAGCTGCAAACCTTCTCCTGGACATGGCAGACGCAAACCGTGGGCCAGGGGCTCGGCTGCTGTACAGAGTCAGGAGGAGAGACTGGAGACACCTAAACAATTATTTTCTGACACAACTTTGAAAGATCCCCTCATTTTTCCACCTCTACCTTCAACGCTAGTGAGCTTTAAGCTTTATTCCTTGAAAGGCAGTTCGGCATGTTGCCCCCAATCTACTTCATTTTCATATCCTCTGTAAGAAAGAGTGCTGCCCACGTTTTCTAAGAAGAAAAGGCAAATGTGTGCACAATATCTTCTCTCAAGGAGAAGGCCCAGGGAAGAACTATGTTCTTGGGAGGAAAATTCCTCAGTCTCCCCCCCACGGCCCTGGCTCATTCTCAGATCATGGGTGTCACAGACATGGTTACCTCAAGTTCAGATTTTGGTAGTGACGGTACCCTTAGTAACCTACAAAGATAATGGCTTCCCCTTCTTTATGCGTGACACCTTATGCATTTGGGCAATCTTATCTTTGGTGTAAAAAATAATAACTAGAAAATATTTTTTCACAATACTAAGCCAGCCATAATTCTTTTTTCTCCTGTGGACATTTTATGATCTCCTTCATAAACTTACATTTTTAAAAAACATCTAGGCCATGAAAGTTAAACAAACACAACCTACCACAACATGCTGAGATAGGATCCGAAAACTCAAGTCTGTTCAAAATGACAGCTTTTGCTATTACTGTTGAAATGAAGTGACATGTGTGACCCTTTTTTAAGTAGAAAGGGGAAAGCTGGGCATCCCTTTTCACATTCTGAATGTCTGGCTACAGATGACTCGACTCCTTTTCCAATCCTCTGAGAAGCCGCCCTTGGTATCCTTCACCGCACTCTGGAACTTGGGTATCACCTTCATTCTGATGTGCTTTGTGCACATTCTCGGACGCTGCGATGCCCATACTAAGGCAACACATCACAGAAGTTGGCAGCAATGCTATCAGCAAGAATTTGGCTTCAGAATCAGGAGTGATTCATCATACATTCTAGCAGCAGAAAAACAACACACCGCTATTTTAATCCCTTGGTGTTATCAAGAATCAAAAAGCAGTACATGGAATAATTTTAAAAAGCAACAGAAGTCCTGTCTGCGGTAACATTATTCTTTTTTTGAGAGTTTTCAAAAAAAGTCACTTAGAGAACAACAGACTACTTACCTTATTTCACAATATTTATTACAATAACATGTCACCCTTTAACTTAATACAATTTTAGGAGAAAAAAGGGAGTCGAACTTCTGCAAAGTAACATTAAAATTCTGAATTCAGAAAAATGTCTTGTTTGCGTTACAAAAGTAATCCACTTTTTCCAGCTTCTCTTTCCATATCTGAGATTACTCCAACACCTACACGAGGGAGCGTGCTACTGTATCTGTCACAACCAAAGAGAGAAACCCGACACTGTGGGTGATTTACTCGGAAGATCCCCCCTTTTTTAGGGGTACCCGAACACTGCCATAAAAAGTGCTCCTGGTCCACAGGGTACCAGAACCCACTTATGTCCCACTCGCTCTACTTACTGATGCTGAATCAAAACTCCATCCCGGGCGCCCTCACTGCACGAGAACATAGTATGTTGATCATCATTAGGATGGCCAGCCAATATTTTTACAGAACTATCCCTGTAAATCCAGTCTACTGTAAATTTAACTTAAGAAAAATGTTCTGTTGTTGTGCCAAGTCCTCAGGGCAGACAGGGAGATTTATCGAGAGCCCCACTCAGTGCCCTCTTTAGGGGACCCCTACCTTTTCAAACGCTTCTTCGGTCCCTCTTCGCTTCCGTTTTCGGGGTCTCCGGTTCACTCGCTTCCATTTCGCGACCTGAAATGCAAAAACCACAGAGCATTGGAAACGGGACCCCGGTCCCGAGCGCCGCCCGTCCCCGCGTGAAA